GGTGTTTTAGTAAGAGCAAAAGCCAAATCTGAACACCCATAATTCTTCATGCCCTGGAAATCAAAGAAGACCAAACCAATCGAATGTGAAGCTTCTGCTTGTGAATAGTTTCCATTCCAAATAGATAGGGATCTAGTAATTCCAATTTCGAAGAAGAAAGAGAGAGGAAGGATGAGAAAAGGGCGGAGAGAGAAAATATCTGACTGGAGAAACTTTCCGTTCGATATTTTTTCCATTAAGGTTAAATTGTGCTTATGTGTTTTTTATGGAATGATAAAGTGTGTTAATTGAATGAGTTGTTACGACGTGGTATCCCCGTTGCGTGGAAGACTCTGGCTCGATCGGTGAAAAGTCTTTAGAAGTCTTTAAATGGAGCGGTCGCTTTCACCAAGTATCTCTAGCGGAGGTTTCCAAGGCTGCCTTGTTCGGGTAGAATTGGAGAATGAAGCAACTTCCTTATTCTGCTTCTGCACTGGCTGCTGCTCACTTCTGCTTCATCTTCTTCTTAACAGTAGCTGGAAAATCCAGAGCTCAAAATGCCATCACTGACCCTTCTGAAGGTACTTTTCATCTTATCATCAGCATGTTCTAGTATTTTAATTATTAATTATGATGTTTCAATCTTTATTTTTCTCATATTATATATATAGAACTTGCAAAGATATATTAATTTGCTTTTGCGCCATGAAGAATCGTATTCATCTATAAATTACTGAGTGGCAGAATCAACAATCAATTTAAGGTGGGACATTTTCTTTTTTCAAACTTGAGCATAAGCCTCTTTTATTCCTATGAAAAGATTAAAATAAAGCCTTTGACCCTTTTTTCTTTTTTTAATCCTATGTTTTTAACTTCTTTTTTTATTTTTATTTTTTACTTTAAGAACTCATTCGGAGGTCGTTCAACTTTCTGATCTAGCTTTGTCTGCCTCATGACTCATCTTGATCCAATCCATATCAATAAAGAACATATATATAGTGTAGGACAAGTCGTGCTTCAAAAAAATTGTTGGGAAGAATTTTTCTAAAAGCTTAGATTTTAATTAATATTTTTAAAAATCAACAGTTAAATTAAAAATTTTATTTATATAAATTATATCTATTAATTTTTATATTAATTTAATATTT